CCCGTCCGCCCGGTGGGCGTATCTGAAAGGGGGGGTGCTGTCATGGTACCTGTAATTTCCACCTCTGAGGAGGTCAGGCATCTGGACAGGGTCTCTCCCAAAGGGGGCTTGTATGTCCAAACATTTCGGCAATTTCGGCCGTTTTCACGCCGGCCACGCTAGCTCCTCCCCCTTTTATGAAGTCATCATTGGCGCGGACCGCCAGAAACCGCAATTCCGGACCTTTTGGGGGCGTGGTCATCAATTAAGGTGACAAGGTACTTAAAGGAATCCTGTGCTACTACTCATTGCCCTGTCGTGGTTCTAGCTTGCTAGTCACTCAGCGCGTTCCTCTCTTTGTGTTATTCGGTTTTGACCTGGCTTGTATTTTCGTCTTGCTTCTTTCTCCTCTCCTTAGACCCGGCTTGTTCCTCGCTAACCTGTTCTCCGGCTCCCTCGACCTCGGCTTGTCTTTTGACCATTCTTGCCTTGTCTATACGTTAGTCCGGCCATTCTAAGGTCCGGTATACGTACCTCTTTCTGTCCGCACTCTGCGTATTGGATCCCTGTCACGATCCTGACAATGCCCCTCCTGAGAAAACAGACCGAAGAAGCGTGGGTGACTAGACTCAAGATTCTAGTATATGCAGAACTGATGCTCGATGACGCATACAAGGCGATACAGTAGTACGCAGCTAAGTGTCCCCCCGAGATGGCAGAGTATGAGTTCCCAGAGGGTGGGGATTACGCTGGCCCTGACCTATTTTGGGATAATATTGACGATGAGGACTTTGGAAAAGCTACCGACTCTCATTTTTGGGACCTGTGTTACAACCGAGAAGACGTGCTGGGTCTCCCTAGCTCTGTTGACCTCGAGGCAGACCTACGGTATCTGGTCGCCAAGGAATGTGACCTGAAGTGGGATTACCTGCGACTCATCAATGAGTCCCGGGAAGAGACAACCAGTCCTCTTCCCCAACAGCAACCAGCGGTACCCGAGGTAGCGGACCTCCTAGACTGGTCCTGCGAGGATCCCCAGCGGTAGTATGTATCCCAGGGAGCTGAAGGTGCCGTCCTTGCTCCCCAGCGGCAGTGTGTGTCCTTAGGAGAGGAGGCAGTTGGTCCCTCTACCCAGCGGTCAAGTGAGTCCCAGGGAGCCAAAGGTGCCATCCTCCCCAGTGGCAGTATGTATCCCAGGGAGCTGAAGGTGTCGTCCTTCCTCCCCAGCGGCAATGTGTGTCCTTAGGAGAGGAGACAGTTAGTCCCTCTCCCCAGCGGTCAAGTGAGTCCCAGGGATCCAAAGGTGTCGTCCTTCCCAGCGGCAGTATGTATCCCATGGAGCTGAAGGTGTCGTCCTTCCTCCCCAGCGGCAGTGTGTGTTATTAGGAGAGGAGACAGTTGGTCCCTCTCCCAAGCAGTCAAGTGAGTCCCAGGGAGCTGAAGGTGCCGTCCTTCCTCCCCAGCGCCAGTGTGAGTCCCAGGGAGCCAAAGGTACCGTCTTTCCTCCCCAGCGGCAGTGTGTCCAGCAGGGAGCAGAGACAGTCGGTGTCGCTCCCCAGCAGCGGGACAATATATTGAAAGGGATGACAGTGGGTCCCCTCTCCACCAGCAGAGAGAGTGTCAGGGAGAGGAGCCTGTTACCCCCTTTCCCCAGCGGTGGAAAGTGTGTAAGGGAGAGGAGCTTGTTACCCCTTCTCCCCAGCAGCAGCGTAGCCCACCAAGGGGAGACATTAAACTCCCCACCAGCGCAGATGGGACCGTGGTCTCTGTGCCCAAGCTACAGGGAGTACTGACAGTCGGTCCTGCTCCCCAGCAGCAGAGTATTCTCCCGGGAGGGGAGAGCCTCGTTCCCCCTCCCCAGCGACAGCCTAGCACACCAAGGGGAGATGATAAGCCCCATACCGATGCAGCTGGGACCGAGGTCCCTGTGCCCAAGCCACAAGGGGTCCTGTCCCTCAGCAACAGGGCTGTTTATCCAAAGGGCAGACAGCCTGTCTTCCCCTCCAGGAGCAACACCAGGTCCAGAGCGAGGAGCCTACTACCCCTTCTCCTCAGCTGGGCTCCAACCAGTCTACTCCCGTGGTAGCACTGGCACCAGGTCAGAGTACCACTGATCTCTGCCCACTCAGCAACCCACTGATTTGGAGGGCTAGTACCCCCCCAGAGCCGTGGCGGAGCCCCAGGACATGGACAAGCTACCCCAGGTGCAGTAACCAATTCTTGTGGGTGGGCCACTCTGTTGATTATGTGTTGTGGGTGGGTTGCTGGACTAACCAGGGCACTAGCCGACAGAAGGTCAGATACCCTGTTAGTCTGATTGGTAAAGGGGAGAAATGTGGCGGAACCAACCTGGCCACTGGCCACTGGAGCAGCATGGTTGCCCAACTCTTGCCGCTGGACTATGGCCCTGCATTAAAAACCTTTTATTTTCCCTATGTGAGCAGTGTTACCCCAGATAGCTAAGCCATGGAGCCCATTCGTATACCGAAAGACTATGTGAAAGACTTTGGCTTCATGGCGATTGAACTGTATGTATGTGACCTGAGCACCATTCAGTAATAATGTGCGCTCAGATCTAAGCTATCTGGGGATATATTGAATGTATATGTTTTATGTAGTAATTGTAACACTGTAATTTTATGTCTTTTTACTAACATGTGTCTAATGGAGTTTTGCCTCTGTCCTTGGAGATAATTGGATTACTTCCCAATTATCTCCAGGACAGAGAGGAGGGATTGCAATGCATTGTGGGATCTTTTTTAATGTGTAAGCTTGTGATTGGTCCTTTTACCCTTTGTGTCCCAGTTTCCCATCTGGTCCCCTAGGGGAGTGTCCACCAGGTGGGAGACCTGCATAAAAGCCGGGCAGGTAGCCCCAGTAAATCAGTTCTACTTCACCCTCAATTTGGAGTGTTGTCTCTTATTGGGGGAATCTGCTACAAGAGATTGCTATGCTAGGCATACTCTCTTGCTATATCACTACTAAACTCTTGTTAGAGCTTGATCCTGGCTTGCTCTCTCTATGGTGGTTATGGTGTCAGCTGGAGTGCTTGGAGTCCTCAGGAAGTGCTAGGAGCATCCATCAACGGAGGTACCCAGTCGGGGTGCCAGGTGATCCGTTACAGAGGCGCTCTTTGGTGTTTAGCATGGAGGGGTAGATAATGAGAGCCAGGAGTGTTGATCAAGTCTTTTGGGGAAAATATGGTGAAATAAACATGATTTGCCACAGGACTTAATAAACTGCGCCAAAAATGCCAAACAACTGTCTGTGACCCTCTGATAAATCTCCCTCAATATCTTTCATTTTTAATTATAGTCTCTTATACGTAGACACTATTATGTTTAGTCACTAAATTGCTCAATTCAAAATGCAAAATTTAATTCACTAACATTTTGAATTTTATATCTCTCTTCCTTACACATAACGTCCCTTATACACATACTTATTCTTCACATGTCTGTGAGCAGGGCTGGCCTCAGGCCTTAAGGCGCCCTGTGTGAAAAATCTTCACAGCGCCCCCCCCCTCCCTCTGTCATCCATGTATGATGTACTGTTTGTGTTGTCTGTGTATGTGATAGATGTGATGACTGTGTGTGATATGCATGCTATGTGTTGGCTGTGTGTGATATTTGTAATGGGCATATTAACTGTGTGATATGCGTGTATTGGTTGTATGTGATATTTGTGCTGGGTTTATTGGCTGTGTGTGATGGTTATTTAATTCAGATAAAACATGCATTTAGGCCTGTGTGTGAATGCAGGTGTATATTTTTGCAGAGTTATGTGCACACAGTCCCACTGTCAAATCTACCACATACACACTGTCAAATCCACCTCATGCACATAGTCGCAGGCAGAAAGTCGCATACACAGGATCAGGCAGAAACACACAGGTACAGGCAGTAACGCACATACACAGTTACAGGTAGATAAACACACTCACACACATTTACATGCAGACAGTCTCACACACACACACACACGCAGACAGCCACACACACACAGACAGACAGCCACACACATACACACACATCCTAAATTTATTAATAACATCTCCCCCCATGACCCTTCTCTGCCCCGCAAAAATAGATAAAAATATCTGCTTGCTAAACCAATAACTAGTAAATTAAGTTTTTTTTTCCAGGATTAAAGCTAAAATTCTTTTACAAAAGATCTGGAAATCATATAACTCAAAAATCCATCTAGCTAGCTTCATGAAATTAAAATAACATGATTCATTCAGGACCAGTTTTTCTCTGTTGAGGAAAAAGCCATCTGTATTTTTTGTTTGTTGATTGAAGCATATGTTCTATACATTGTGTAGGTGTGTTTATAACCATTTCAGTACCAGGGCAGGGGGCTTGTAATCTTTCAGTAAAATCATGAAATGCCTTTAATATACTGTTACCAATACCATTTTCTTTGAAAATTTACTACATATAGTGGATAAACAAAACAGAGAAATTAGGGTAAAACAGTCAAGTACAATGGCATTGCATTGCAGTTTACATGTTTGCTAACCTCTTAGTGGAACTAATTATGGGCTCACATTTTATTATTATTATTATTATTGGCATTTATATAGCGCCAACTTATTGCACAGCGCTTTACAATTTTTAATCCTTTATACATGCTGATCTGTATTAAGATATATACCAATTTACATGTGATAGAGGCGCTTAAAAAATAGAGAGTATAATTCTTGATAACGCTAGTGGGAATCCCTCTCACCTACCAAAAACATGCATACAAGAAAAGTGGAAAAGAGCCCAAAGAGTTATAATCCTTAAGAGTGGAGCGTGAGAAAGATGGTGGAACTATAACCACCTACCCTAAATGAATATCAGATATTGCCAAGTTTGGATGATGCTCAATCCAGTGGATATCATGGCATGTATGAAAGAAAAAAAATAGGGGAAATACATAGCATAATTCTATGGTAATTCTATGGTAAAGAATGCAGGTTAACAACTCACATGGAGTAGAGCCTCAGATAGGACAGGCTCAAATTTCTTCAGCAGATGCCGGTGAGCAAGGTGGAACACCATCTAAGATGGTGGACGACACGTTTATCCAGACTCCTGAAAGGGAGATATCTGCCACTCACCTGCGCTTAGAAGCTTTCTTCAATGCCTTTTGGAGGAAGCTGGAGAGCAGGCTGGCTCCCACTGAAACCATCGAGGCACCTCCTGAACCATCCCACTTGTCCCCAAAGCGCCCTGCAGCTAACACCATGGGCCCAATATACCGGTGCACAGTGGTAAAAGCAGCCTGCCTGCAAGCCCCGAAGCTCAGCACCACAAAGAAGGAAACACATCGGGTCGGAGAGAGGAGGGGAGAGCAACTGCTGACCGAAAATCTGCAGAGGTCAACTTTGGCTAAGAACCTGAGAAGCCAAGCAATCTGGGACACTAATTTTCCTGAAATGGGGATTTGATGACAAACAAGATGTGCCTCTGACCCCAAGTTATATCCAGCTTAGTGTACTCTGTCCGTATCAGACTTCTTGTTTGTTCTACTTCTGTTACTTATTAGTGTTGCCACTTACCCTCAATCTACATCAGCATGTCCCAGAGGATAATGCAATTTATCATGCTGAAATTTCTATAGGGTGTTATTCATGTGTATTGGGGGCTGTCTGGGGTGGTATACTCTAATGTATTCCTCATCTTAACATGTCGTTCTACACTAAGTACCTATCTCTTCTCTGCAATATGATATAGCCATGTTTGTTTAGCCTGTTCACTTCCTACTTTAAAAATGTGCAGAGTTATAGCATGCCATGTCCAGATTTTACATTTTGTGTTTCACACTTGTTGCTGCTGTCGTGGCACTGCAAGTTTAAATGTATATCACTATGTGCACAACAAAAATAAAGAATTATAAATTTGAAATTCACTTTAATGAATAGACATCTTGCATATTAATTGCACCTTTTGCAAAGGAACAACATTAGGGCCAGCAATAGGATTGGCTCAATGCAGCTCTATGAGTAGATGCTGTTTGGCCAGGACCACTGGCGGATCCAGGGGGGGGCAACGGGGCAATTGCCCCCCCCCGAGAAATCCGCCGGTCTCCCTCCCCTGCCAGGACATGCAGGTGCTAGCCCTGAGCGGACCGGAGGTCAGAGATCTCCCTCCCCAGTCCGCAGGCACTGTGCTGGCAGCCGGCAGGGGAGGGAGAGGGAGTGAGAGGGAGGACCTGGAGCTCAGGCTGCAGCTCCTCCGGGTCCTCCTCTCGCGAGATTTGGAACCGCGGCAACGCTCCAAATCTCGCGAGAGTGAACTCTAGCCCGGGAGCGCGGGCTAGAGTTCACTCTCCCCACTGGGACCACCAGGGAATCACCACTGGGACCACCAGGGATGAAAATATGTCCCCCCTCCTCCCCAGTAAAGGTAAGAAGGGAGGGGGGACATAGGATATTTTTTTTTTTTTAATTAAATAAAGATATATATTATTAAAAAAAGCCCCCCCTACCCTTAACACACACACACACACATAGCCCCCATACACACATGCTGCCCCCCCATACACACATGCTGCCCCCCCATACACACATACTGCCCCCATGCTGCCCCCATACACACATGCTGCCCCCCATACACACACACATGCTGCCCCATGCTGCCCCCCATACACACATACTGCCCCATACACACATGCCCCATGCTGCCCCCCATACACACATGCTGCCCCCCATACACACATACTGCCCCCATACACACATACTGCCCCCATGCACACATACTGTGCCCCCCATACACACATACTGCATACACATACTGCCCTCATACACACATACTGCCCCCCATACACACACACTGCCCCCATACACTGCCGCCCCATACACACACATTGCCCACATTCACACACACACTGCAACTGTTACACACACTGTTCACACATACACTGCATCCCTGACATACACTGCCCCCCCTACTCACACACTACAACCTTCACACACACACACACTGCTCACACACTGTCCCCCTCACACACACTGCACCCCTTACACATTGCACCACTCACACACACCACTGCTCCTATGCCCTACTACCGCCCCATTTCCCAGCAGACCTCAGGTAAGTTGTCAAACTGTTCTTAAACGGTTTGACTACTTACTCTAGGAGGGGGTCCCGGCACTATTGACACCATAACCACTACACTGAGCTGTAGTAGTTATTGTGTCTGGATTATTTCTTTAAATAATCTACAAGTGCCCCTCCCGAGATCAGGCTCTGGATCCGCCACTGGCCAGGACAACATTTGATCCTGCCCCCGATCCGCCTCCTTGGCTGAAATCATCAGCATAAATGATCTCAGTCAAGGATGCGGAACAGAGGCGTAGCCAGTACCAACTGACCCGTGCGGCGCTGGAAAAAAGGTACGTTTTCAACGTTCTGAAGGAGGGCAAGGGAAAAACATTTGTGTTCCTGACCCTATAGTGTCAGGAAGCTGGTAGTCAAAGTTGGAGGCGCATACAAGGGGTAAAGGGGCATTAGTTGCACTAGGTACCCAGTTTCCTAGTGGGTGCAGACCTTTACTAGTGGATATGGAGGGAATGGGTGGTGGGAACATATATCAACACTCTTAAACCTCTGGTAACTGTGCTATCATGTTTGTGCAAGTCAACTCTTCATTTTCTAGCAGCTGCACAGCCTGCACTTGTTTACGAAGATGACATAACACTCTGTTGTGCTAGATTACTATAATAAATGTCCTAGGGAACAATTGCCAGAGACAGTATTCTGTGCTCGCATCATTTTGTACCACTGTGCTTTTATTTCCCCTAAGTGCTTCGTATCTGCTCAGGAACCAGTGTATAACAGGAGCCAATGAAAATCACAACTGATCAGAATGAGTGTGAGACTGCATTGTCTGGATGCTGTTTATAGCATCATAACAGTATTGGGTTGTAATTTTTTTCCTGTATTGAAAATGTAAATGGAAACATCTCACACGACAGAGGAGAAATTAGTTTATATAAAATTGCTCTATCGCCAGATATGAACTCTGCGCTACTGTATAACGCTTTAAAATCTATCTAAACCGTGTGTATATAAATGTTACATCAGTCCCACAGGACTTTATTAAAACAGAATAAAATGTTTCTATATCACCTGGACTATTGTTATGTTTGTATGGGCAATCTGCATCATTGGTAACCACAACCAGATCTGCCAGGTGGCAAAGTAGGGAGCTGCATATATGGTTCTGTAACTGCTGGGAGGGTATGCAGAGGGAGGAGGGGGGGGAAGGGGGATTCTCTATTACTTACATAGCATGGTGGGATTGCATTGATTTCCTGGCTGTGCAGAATGAATTTATTTATAATTGTACATTCTTTTAGATCCCAGAGAACAGTACACCACTCTGTTCATTAGTACTTGGTAAAGAGGAGGAAACATAATATGGAGTCATGACATATCCTCACCTCTCTGTTAGTGTACCTGTCATCGAATTTTGCTTTGGGCCCAAGCACAAGGTATTTCTGGAACTTAGAAACACCACTGTTACACACATATGTTGTCCTGTATGTTCACATGACCAATATTTTTCTCTCCACACAAATGAAAAGGAGACCTGGGTATTAGACAGTTATAATTACAATTTTCATTGTAGTATCTATATAATTAGTGGGTGAGTAATGGGGTGCTTAAAAAATGTGAGAGTTCCTGCACACTCGACTGAATTAGGGGAGTATTTCCAGCTCTAACACACAGTGTTGGCAAGATAGATTTAGGGTTATATTTCAGATTCCCACATTACAATGTAATAATCAACTAATAATCAATAATCAATTAACACATTTATGCATAAAAAAAATGTATCAAAGTGAAATGCTGCCAATATTGACTAGATTGTCTCCCAACAAACAAACAAAATTTATGAAGTGTCTTAGGCGCAAAAGTGAATCATACTAATAAATACTTTAAATTAACTTTATTTATCAAAGTGCATCAGTTTAAGTTCAGTTAGTTATTATTTGGCAATGCCCAACTGCCTACTCTAAATTCTGAAAAGTTTTTTTTATGAAATCTGAACTTTGGCTGTACGTCTACCACATTCCAATAAGAATATGTTATTTGAGTTTCCTAGAAAAAAATATATAACATTATAGCCATTAAAATATACTCTCTTTTGGCTTTATTTCCTGGCAAGTGAAATTGTAATTTCCATAGCTTTTTATTATGTGAGATCTTACTTCTTCCAAGTACATCTAATGCAATCATGCTTTGCAGAGAGGTGCTATGTCTAAAGTCACAGTTCTAATTTGGAAGAGCATTGGCGCCAAGATTTTTGACTTAAGAGTTCAATAAATTGTGATTTCAAAGTCAAATCATTTTTTACATTATTTTTTATTCCCTTTACTGTTTTTTACAGACATTGCTTGATTTTCTGCTGTTGGCTCGAACTTTGGTGCCACTAGCCAGAACCGGATAAAGGTTGCCCAGGGCCCTAGACAGTTGCCAAATTTGGGACCCCTCCTAGAGCCCTGGGCTCTTTATCTGTGAGTCGTTTGTGTGTGTTTGAGAACATATATTTACCAAGTTCCACCATCAAGTGTGATACACTGGGCATCGCTCAGTCTGCTGGCATTTGCACCATCTAATAGAGTCTAGCTTTGTAATGGCTATGAGGCCAGGGGATTTAAGTAAGAAACAAGGGAATGGGTTAGGTGGCCAAATTCCCACCAGCTGTGTCGCCCCTCTCCTGCTTGCCACCGCTAGCAACATCACAGAGCTCCAAGCTGGCTAATGTTAATTTGTGCATACTGGGCATGTGTCGTTAGTACACCTAAGATGCTAGTGAGAGATGACCAATAAAAGCATACCCCTACGTCCCTCAGCTCATCCTCCAGAAAATCTTTTTTTGGGGGGGGAGGGGCAGGTCAGCCACAGTTGTTTTGGTGCTTACAGTATCATCGTAATCCATTTTCTTCCCTATATTACAGAAGTGGGTTTTTGGTGCTCCTTGACCAGTTGTCAGAAGCGAATTATGGATCATCTTTGAAATACACATAACATTAGAACTTGAAGTAACATGCAGGTACATGATGCAGGTACATGAGGCAATGCTGCCTACTGTGAATCAGATACTTAGAAAATTATGTAGCCGCAACATATAGAGTTGCCCTCAGAGCAGGAGCATCTGCAGCCATTTTTTAATTCCAGAGACTGCACTGGAAAATATGGTAACTATGATCCCTCAAAAAATATTATGGTGACTTAGGTCCCATGAGTTCACTCTATTGCCCTGCTTGTGGTTAACTGCTTGGTAGACAGACCCAGAACCATGCAGGCTTTAATTATCACTCATACAAACTGATCACTGAGCAGATCTGTAAAGTACTAATAGGCACCATTACTTAACAAATGACCTGAAGATGGTCTAGGCTTCTGACTTTCTGTCTTACAATTTAGTTTACGACAAATG